TGTTTTTATTTTCTTTAGCATGCTAGAAGTATTTCTGTAGTTTTATGATTCTTCTAAGTTCTTTGATTCTTTCATGTTTACTAATTTCTGTCCCCAATTTTGTCTGTGCTGCATGCTAGATACTATGTACTGAGGTCTTTCCTAGTATTAATCCTATTAGCCCAAGAAAATATTGATAAATTTATGATAGCACTAAAGCTAATTATTAAAATGCAGATTAACTTCTGCATGTTCTTTATTCTAGTTCAACATATTTCTGTTCAGATGTGTTTATCACCTATGCCTTTTCTTTTTCCCTTTCTCTGAATATATGTTCAGTTCATGGTTCACCTACCAAACATATTCTAGTTCAAGTTAAGCATGTTCAGTTCATAAGATTAGGGATTTCTACTCTTACCCATTGAAATGAGGGTAGAATTTTTAGTAATGCTACTATAGGATTTTATGATTAATATGCTTAGGTGGGATATCAAGGGTGTTTGGCTACAATCCAAGAATTTCAGTAAGAAAATCACATGAAAACCCTCTACCAAATGGGGCCTTAGAGATTTGCATCTTAGCTATATATGCTTTTTATAATCTGTTAGGAGTTAATAATCCCTCAAGAACTTTCTCACTAAAGGTTTATAGCTGAGAGCTTGAGAGGTCATATAATAATGACATCAACCAGTGAATTATGCTTGAACTTTCTTTTTGTACTTTTGCCAAATAGATGGTACAAACATTAATCCTGCCGGTTACTAGTGATTGATAATAGTGCACCAAAAATTCATGTATATTATACACTAGTGTCTTGTCTAATGAAAAATGAAGACAACTTGAGAATATTAGCCATAGTTGTGAATCTTATCTGTGGTGACTGTTCAATTTATCTAATAGACCTGTTTCTAATAGGTTAACTCGATTCTTTTCCTGTTGCAAGTATCTAAAAGGCCTGGTTCTCTCAAGAGTCCGACATGCTGACTATTTGTAGTTATTGAACCATCAAAGAATTTCACCTTTAATATCGTCTGAATATAAATGTCATAAACTGAGATGGCATTATGGAAGTGCTCAACAAATCCTTTCATTGGACATATGTTGAGGTTTTAAGGCTCAGACAATCACAATCCAATCGGCAGACTCGAATTAGTATGAACTGTAGCCAACATGAGTATGGTCAAAATACTGTGACCGTTGAATTTTGTTGGTGTGTCCCTGAGATAAGAAGGAAAATGATGAAGGGGAGTAAATGAAGAAAGTAGAAGAGGAGAAAGGACCATCTAAGATGTTGCGCCATTGCTGCTTCCACTATGAATGTGAAAGAGGGGTCTTAGAAGTACACCCTTGTCCTTGCGCTCCATGTCCTCTCTACTGATGGAGATCCATTTTATATCTCATTCCCAAAACTTTCTCATTTTGCTCGGCTAATATGTCGAGCCTATAGGTGAGACCTAAACAAGCTGACTTAACAACCCCATAGATGGCTTGTGATAGGGCCACATGGGATGAAATTCTCTGGGGATGTATTTCCTGTACATGTATTTAGATAAAATAAGGCAAAATATAATATAGCAAAATTTAAAAAAGAACTTTTATGCATGGATATAAGTATTAAGCTGTTGCATTTGTAAATTTAGTTTTTATTTGCTAATATTCAAAATTTTATGGATTCTACTTATACTAATTTCTTGAATAATTTTTTTTTTATTTTGTCAAATTTTTTATCTTTAAATTATTATTATTATTATTTATTTTATTATTTTATCGACCTGACCTGTTTCTGATGTCCATCTGAACCTTGGATTCTGATTCAGAGATTGTTACATGAGCCTGGTACAAGCAGTAGATCTGTAATGTCTTCTCTTAAACATTCAGGATAACTGTCATGATTATTTGTGCACATGGCTAAAATATGGTGATGCCTTATGCATGTTGGTTTTGGTGACAACGTCATCTTAGTTGGTAGATGATAAAAAATTACAGGAACAATGGTTTCCCTTTTTCTTCTCCGGATGCATAAAATTTTTAGCTCATTCAGCTTCTTCTGGAGATTTATTGATTTTCTTAAGTTTGACATATTCTTTTTTGTCTGCACAAGTTCATATGGCTTGTTATTCTCACTCATTTTGTCATAAGCATGGCTCTTCTGTCTGTCCAAACAAAATAAATTCTACAACTTTTGAAAGTGCCTAGTGAAGTGCGAAAAGAAATTTTGTCATTAATTTCTCAAGTACTTGCATTGCATATGGTATGAGTTCCTAATATATGCTTCTAGACACTCAAAAGCACTAAAAACCTCTGTTCAGGTAGCAGTTGCACTTTCACATGCAGCTATACTAGAAGAATCTATGCGGGCACGTGATCTACTAATGGAACAAAATGTTGCCCTAGATTATGCACGTCAGGAGGCAGAATTAGCAATTCGTGCTCGCAATGATTTTCTAGCTGTCATGAACCATGAAATGCGAACTCCATTACATGCAATTATTACACTTTCTTCCTTGCTTCTGGAGACTGAACTAAACCCCGAACAGCGATCAATGGTTGAGACCGTCTTGAAAAGTAGCAGCCTTTTGGCAACACTCATCAATGATATTTTAGATCTTTCTAAGTTGGAGGATGGAAGCCTTGAGCTAGAAATTGGAACTTTTAATCTACATTCTGTCTTCAGAGAGGTAACTTGTTTCTTTTTTATGTTAACCTTGATTGTGTGTGTGTTTGGTGTATGTATGTAACATTAAAGATAGTTGTACTTTGTCTGGAAATTTTTTTGTTTTATAGGTTGTGAATTTTATAAAGCCAATTGCAGCTGTCAAGAAGCTATCAGTGTCACTTATGCTGTCACCTGACCTGCCATTGTGTGCCATTGGAGATGAAAAACGGCTTATGCAAATTTTGTTAAATATAGTTGGTAATGCTGTTAAATTTACGAAGGAAGGTCACATTTCACTTACAGCTTCCGTTGCCAGGGCAGATTACTTAAGGGATTTTAGAGCTTCTGAATTTTATCCAGTTTCTAGTGATGGGCACTTCTACTTGAGAGTTCAGGTATTGTCAATATCCCATGCTTGATTAACCTGTAGCATTTTGGTTATCTCGCCATAATGTGACATGAATAGTAAATCATATGTAAGGAAAAATTAGAGAGCAGTTAGATAACATTAGAGAGTGGAAAATTTTGTGTTAATTGATTCCCTCTTAGGAACACCATAAAAATCTGAGTTATAGTTTAATTGGCTTCTTAAAAGGCTTAAAAGTTCAAGAGCTCTTCACATTCACCATTCCACCACATTCTTTCTTCACTAGGCTCGCTCCTTAAAAGAATTACTTGGGGACATGGCAACTAGTGTCCTGACAGGATCTTAAATGGTAATCGAGAACTGAGATCACAAGCTGTTTACTGTAAATTGATGGTGCATCAATAGACTGCTGGCCTCTAATTGATGCAGGAGCAGCACTGTTATCAGAAGACTGCATGATCTCATATTATGTTTCGAGATGTAATTTTAGAAATTGTTCGTTATAATTATACTGAATCTATTCTCCTTTATTCTTGCAGGTCAAGGATACTGGTTGTGGAATTAGTTCTCAAGATTTACCACATCTCTTCACCAAATTTGCACACGGCCGGAATGTAGCAAGTCGAGGATTCAGTGGCAGCGGCCTTGGGCTTGCCATTTGTAAGAGGTATAGCCATATAGTATTGACACTTTTTTTTGCTAATTCACATGGATTCAGAAGACTAGTCTTTGATTACAAGGCCTTGCAAGTGTCTCTTTTTGCATATATTTCCTTCTAATGAATCAAACTTAGACTAAAGCCTCAACTTGGATTTCTTGCACTAACATCCTGCTGTTTGTTTTCCTAATGGAAACTTACACTAAGGACCCAACAATAATACATTAGCAGTTGCATCAGACTATATTGCATGATTACCAGAATAAAGCACAGGGCAGCATATCAAAATGACTATAAAGAAGCTGTACTAAGATGTGTACCACTTTGCATTCATGGTAGCAAAATCATCATAATGTCAATATGCACAACTATCCAAGTACCTCTTTACTTGCACTGCCTTAGATTATCATTTCAATTTGGCAGGATGAGTATTTTGTGACAGGTTAATTGTTACACACAGGTTAAAACCATATCAGGTGATGGACCATTAAGCAACACAGTGCAAGTAAACAAAACTTAGTTGGTTGTTTATGTGAATTGGCATGTAGGGTGAATATAAGGAGCACTTAATGAGCATCTACATTAATCTTCTCCTGTACACGTCTGTGAAATCAATCAATTTTGTTAGTACTAGTACTGCTGCTTCTTGTCATACATACACATCCTTAATTACTTCTTTCTGGCCTCGTATCAGATATGTGAGTCTCATGCAAGGTCACATCTGGCTTGAAAGCGAAGGCATTGGACAGGGTTGCATGGCAACATTTGTAGTGAAACTTGGAATTTGCGAAAATCCAGATGGATCTCAGCAGAAAATTGTGCTGTTGCCTTGGACAAAGCACGGGCAGGAAGATACTTCTAGCTCAAGAGGAATGCCAAAAGATCCGAAAGCTTTTATTCCATTGAAGCCTCGGTATCAAAGAAGTGTATAGATACTATGGGATATGACTTACAAGCATGCAAGTATTCCCATATCTACACCAAATATACTGTGATTAAGGTGCAGGAGCTTTATGTGGGAAAGATTAATGTTGGTGCTCTCAGGCTGCGTATGTTGTTGTAGGGTTGACATGTAATTTTTAGATGGGCATTGTTGTTGCGTCAACTTGCCTTACAATATTCTAATTTATGCTTTCCCCACATTCTTCACTTACCTCGATCTGCCTACTAATTCTATTGATTAGATTTCTCTGGTGAATTTTGCTGTTGATTGTTCCCATTCCTCTCAATCTCTTTTGATTCACAGGATTAACAATCATTTCAGAGTATTTGATATGTTATTGGAAATATTTTCATTCACAGTTTTGATTATATATATTTTGGGCATGCAGCAGTAGTGCTGAACAATAATACATCAAGCATTTCATCAGACAAAGATTAGCATCAATCCATGTTATTGTTGGACGACCTTCGAATTAAGACCACACAACACATCAACTTAACGATGTATCAATGAAAGAATAGGCATACAGCGGAGCAGTCGTCGACGGCGACTCCTCTCCTCTTGCGCTTCCATGCGCCGACGGCACACTCCACAAGCCTTTTGGCTGACTTCCGTCTGTCCTTTGTCGATGATACAATGTTCACAGCTTCTTGGTTGGAGATGACATCCCATACCTAAGCAATTGGTCAACAGATTTGTAAAGCATGTACTAATCCAGGAATTATATCAGCCTGAAAAATTATCTACGAACCGACTCTGTATTACTTCTCAATTCAGAAAAAGAAAACAGAAACAAAAATCTTTTTGTTTTTCCCGCACTCGAGAAGCTAGTTTGTGTTGTTTGATCAAATGTTCCTAAAGGTAATCAGATCAAATAGATTTGCATTTGCAAGAATGAAGTGTAAATGAAACTAAAATATATAGATTTCTTTGTATTAACGCATAAAAGCCAGTTGCAGTTACCCCATCTGTGGCAAGTACCACAAACTGATCTCTGCCGGTTATGCTCCTTTGAGTCACTTCAGGCACAGAAATAAGGCCAAAATCTTTGATGCAGTAATCTCCAAATGCTCTCGACATGGCCAATCCTGGTGCTTCCTCATTTGGTAGCCACACCCTGTGCACACCAGGTTCATCTTGCAAACAGAACACACGGCCTTTGCACTGAGTTATGCGCTCAGCTTCCTCTGAAATCAACAGAGGTTGATATTATAACCCTATAAGCAATCTAAAGCTAATGAAACACACATGGAGAAACTATCTTATGCAATTTTGGATTTCTCATGTTGTATGATTACCATTTGCAAAACTAGTAATTCGTTTGCTATAATATTCTCATTGTTGATGCGTGTAGGACATGAAACTTACGAGGTAAGTTTGGTTTAAAATCAATGGTAAGTTGAATAGGAACCAAGCTGCCATCATCAGAAGTCGTCGCTAACACAGCACGCGAATCACCGATATTTGCTATTACCATGAGTTCCCCCTGAAAAGCGAACAGCCAGAAACATCACACAAAATGTAGATATTACAAGTAGTTATCAGCAGTAACGGCAGTCGCTACAAGAAATATCTTTCGAAAAAAAGGACATAATTCTCTTGTTGAGGAAAATTATTTTGCTAGATTTGGTTCTCGGTATGATATTGTGCGTTTCTTATTGAAAGTGCAGCCAATTCCCTTGAAGCTCATCCTCTTGTCAATCAGTAAGTTGGTGACAGTAGTTTCGATCATCATTTCCTAATCTTGAATAAGTAGGAGAAAAAATTTACGGAGATGGATACGATACTAGGAAGAAATGTTAACTGCAAGCACCATTTTCTAAATTACTTGTCATTACAATCAAACTTCAGGTGAACTACAGTTTTGAAAATTCTTCATGTAATCTGTTCTTACCGTCTGCTTGCATGAGTTTAAGGTGTTCGCCTAAATATCGTTTCTTCCAATATTGTGACAGAACTTGGCAGCTATATTAAGGGTCTTGTACTATCCATACTTGCTTTTAAACAGGAACAGGAAGCAAATTACTGTAGGGAAGAACTAGAAAACTTGAAACTACTTCAGAGAGGGTAAATTCTATTATTGCTTAAGCTATTCAAGAATTCCATAGAGATTGAAAGGTAGACAATGAGAAAGCCTAAAGATTAGGCTATCAGAAGCTGTATCCATGATTCACATGATTCAAGCGACAAATTATTGCCAAATTTGACAATGACATGCATTTTCAATCCATTACAAAGGCATTATATCCACTACATCCACGTTGCAGTTCGGAAATAACGGTTGGTCTTTAGATCACATTTTACATACTCCAAGTTAAATATGCTTACTGGAGATGAAAAACCCATGATGTGGTTGCTAATTTTCCTGCTTTTCTAATCATAGGTTCAAGGAAGAGACAGATGAACCAATCACCAACCAGGGTCACTTGATCCAGGAGATAACCTCAGAGTTATACATATTAGAAACTTTTATTTAAGCAGAGATCATTTCCTGTAAAACAACACCAGAAAAAAACGCTGCCCTACATGCAAAACTAGCAATGGAACAGAGCAATTGAGGAAGAAACTGATTAAGGTGATTGAGCATGAAGACTTATTTCTAGAAAAATAATAATAAAAAAGATGAAATTTAATTGGTTATTACTTGCTTGACGATTGTGAGAGCGGTAGAGCCACTACGGAACGAATCCAGCCGACGATCATGTTCAAGCTCCTTATCCACCGCGGCAAAACTTTTAATATATGATTGCTTCCACACATCAAAATGGCAAGGCTTTTTATCAGCAACCAAAGAAGCCAGTGCAAGAGCCTCCTGCCAGTTGCATAGTAGAGATGAAGGAAGCGACTTCCGGACTGCTTTAGCCACATAGTGCCCCCATGATCCATGGCCGTCGAATATTCCACAAAACATCATGTCTTCTTGGCATCCAAATTCCTAACAGCAATTCAAACCCAATTGCTTCAACAATTGAATCAAACATGGAAACTATGTTCAATTAATTAATCTTTAATAGCTCAAGCATTTGACAAGATGATGGAAATGAGCAGAACATTGCTATGACCTATGCAATTGTGCAATTTCGTAGTAGAACAAAATATGATGAAACAGTAATGATAGAAAACCCAAAATTATCTCCACCTAAATCCTATTGCTATCTGAGACATGGAAGTTTGCTTAGAATTTTATGCAATCGATTCAGATAAAACCATTAAAGAGGCAGATGAAGCATGAATTCCAGGAGTAAAAGCAAGCAATCACCAAAACATGCTAAAAGCAGAAGAACACATACCAAAATGCACAGAGACCGCATGAAATAGATATGGGATCGAAGGAGTACCTCCCAAACAATAGAACAGTCCTGATTCACCCCCTTCTCCCCCCTCTGCGAGAACACGGACACGCAGCTCCTCGTCGTGCCCGATGACCGCAATATCGTATCATTCTTCTTCGCCTCCCGTCTCAGCTCATCCGCCGCCTCCCTGCCTTCCTCCACCCCCGGAACCTTCCTCTTCCCTGCGTACAGCGACTTCGCGAGCCCATTCAACAACGACGACAACTGCCGCATCAGTCCTCGCCTCCGGATCCAATCAAAAGCTCCAGCCTTTGGCCAAAGAAGGAACCTTTTCGGACTGGAGCGAAGCAACGGCGACGAAAAGGCCGGAAGAAGATGCTAAAGCTATGGAGAACCTTGGATCCGATTAAGCTGGAAAGGGCAGCAGGAAGCCATGGCTGCCTTGTGCGAGCTTCCCTGATGGTCTCCTCCATCTAATCGCTCTTATATCTACGACCGGTGACGCGACCTCAGTGGGAGCCGCCTCTTTATTCCAAAGTCCAACAGAAATTTAACCTGGATGGTGACTGGATTCACCGACGGTTAACCACCGTCGCGCCTCATTGGGTCGGTTGACCAACTGTTCTGTCGATGGCCTGTTGATCCTGTGACCCGCACGACGAGATAAACCGCGTGATGTGTGGTCAATATCGCACGACCGAGCGGGACCCAAGCCGTGGCACAGCGCTGGAGTGAGACACGTGTTCCACAAAGCAAAAAAGGGGCGCATGTCATCATCAGTGGTGTCTCCTCCTGTTTGACTTTGTTTTGAGGAATATTCTTGTCATCATGCTTATGTTTGATGATTAGCCAATTTGGGTCCCATCTACGTGTAATTAATTGCCAATTAATTCCAAGCCAATTGTTGATTTGGGGTTTAGAGTTGTGATTGGTTGTAGCTTTAGATCATTGATTAGTTGAACTCAATGATTGGATGTCCCCCACTTACCACTAAAATATAAGAGCATCCATTGCACACATGTTTCATGCTGCATTTGATCTACTGAATTAGAATTCTAAGGTATAATCCTTATATGACACCAATATGTTGCAATACTAAAATAAAAATTTTGATGATAAATTATGAGATGGAAGACAACTCGAAGGGATGTATTGACATATTCAATGATCTACTTAATTTAAATATTATATGGGATGACACGTAGTTTATACATATCACGTTTATCATATGTCCTACCCATGACACGATTATTTTAAATTGATGACATAACATGGATAAAAATATTAATTTTTTTTACATCACAATGATTATTATTGTCGTAACTTCGACAATTTAACACACAACTTTATCGTCTAATAATGATCGAGTAGCTCATGTAATCACTCGTGACATTGATTATGACTTAAGTTGAAGGGTCAAACACATCATCGATATACTTTTGAACCAAAATTTGACTTAACAAGATCAATTAAATATATTAGCATACCATTCACATGAACATTGATTATAAAGCTAGCTTAAGTGGAACCAGCAAGAAAATATTCTGCTTTATTTGCTCATCATTGCAAAGCCAAATCTGATACAGAGCAGGAAGACAACACCACCATGTGAGAATGATTACTTTAAGCTGGATGAGTGTTGCAAGTAAGCCTGTATCTGAAACTGGCTGAAATAGACACCACCTGCTATATGGCTCCCATATCTCTTCATTCTTCTGCAATTAAGAGGCCATATATATATCAGGTGATTGATGTAATATGTGAGAGTTGACATTATTCCTGACATTTTTCCAAGGGGTGATCACAGTGCAGGTATGCATCAGAGTCCATTTGCACACCTTAATCTCACACATCAACATATGTGCATATACTGCAGGTTTTCCTAATGGCACAGCTGCTGCTGATTTAGGCCCAAAACTCCACTCAGATGATGCATGTCATTTTCTTGGAGAAACATCTTCACTGTGCCTAAGAAAAGCTCACAGTGTATGGCCCAGAAGAAATACCAGTTTTCAAACCTTTACTCTTCCACAGAGCAGATGATGTTTGACTGCAAAATCTCGCATCAGGTTGGCCATAAAGAAAAGTGAAACCTTCTGCACTCAAAGACACAGCTTTGTGATCTCAGATCACTGTGTCAACAAAATAGTGAATTAGATTGGGATTATAATAATTAGATGTGGTTGAATTATAAATCATCATAAGCTTTTGTCTATTTCTAAGTATTTTTTAGCCTCTTTTTTTTGGGGTTTAATCGATCCATATTTTCGACGAATACGTATGAAAATAATTGGAGTGGCCAAAAGCCCATCAGACGCTCAACGAGAAAGCGAACACCAGATTGCAGCATCCATCTGGATGGCACGATGTTGTCGAAGGCATCATTCACATGGCCGATCCAGCGATGTGGGAGCGAGAAGGCGACGGCCTGCACGCGAGCGGAGCACCACCGACGGACAACGACGTGGATTTCTTAATGCGACCTAATGGTGGCTGTCTCCACTTTCATGTAGACGCATCGGCGAGGCAGCTAAAGGAGTCGTCGTCGTCGTCGTTGTTTCAGTCGGCGTGGCATAATCTGATAGCACAGCACGCACGAAAGAGAGAGAGAGAGGCGTCGCCGAGCGATCGACGGTGTCGAAGCAGCAAACGATTCCTTTTGTCAAGTCGATTCCACGAGTCACATCCCGACGGGCTAATTATATAGTAGTTAGATTTTTTTTTTAAATTTTGATCATTAAGCTTAATATTAAATTTTTTATAGTTATAAAAATAAAATATCTAACCATATTTATCTTAATCAACAAAAAATATAGTACCTGATAGCATATGCACATCACATCGTTTTACCTCACTTATCTTTTCTTCGATATCAACGTACATGTAAAACGATGTCGGAGGAGGAAGAAGAGAGTGATGTGGCACTATTGCTTTGTCTCCCTTCTCTTCCTCCTCTAATATTAATGGAGATGTCTCATCATTGTCTCTTTTTTCTTTTCATCATCGATGTTCGGATCAACATCGGTAAGACCGGCCATTGCGTCATTGTCGTCGATCACCACTACAATAGTTGCTCATGACATTATCTCTACTATTATCATTGGATTACTTTTTTGTCTATTGTTTTTATATCATTCATGCATTGTACTATCACATATTGTGTCATCCGTCCAAAAAGTTAAAGTAAATGAGGTTAAATATTTTATTTTTGTAACTATAATGATTTCAATATAAATTTGTTTAAGTTTAAACTTTGATTGAATTATTACAAATTATCAAAAATAAAAGAGCCTATTATATATTAATTTTTTTAAATTAGATTATAAAATGATCAACTTAAATGTTTTGATTGCCTTTTGAATCACTTTAATAGACCACTAATTTTCGGAACCTACTAATTTTGGCCCAATAGAAGCCCAAATTGAATCCCTTTTCAGCCCATTACAACCCAACTTAACGTTCCATTTCAGCCCATTAAAACTTAAACACGTCAACCATCTTTCCGACATACAGTTCGTTCTTTCGACATGACACATTATTCTTATGGTAGATCATTAGATCTGTACTATTATCCTCTAATATAATATCTAATCCTTTGACTTCATCATCAGACTTCATCTTAATAAAAAATTAATTCCTTGGCTCCATCAAAGTATGAAATCCAACATGCAAATATTATTCTCTTCTCAATCCTTCCACATGCAAACACTATTCGCGAACACAGCCATGGCCGCCGTGTACTTCCATCCTCTTTCCCTGAACCAGCAGCCGGTGTCGGCGCAAAAGCGAACCCACCGACACTTCCTCTTCCCTCAGTTTCCAGGCACAATGCTGGGCTCCACCCCGACGCGCTCTCGTCGCTACCGGTCTTCGAGAAGCTGGAGTGCGGCGCCGTGTGCGTGGCCGAGCTAAACAACGGCAAGAAAGGGACGCTCCTCTCACGGTCACGAGCCAATGTCTACTTTTCTCTTAGTTTTGGAAGGGTTTTCGATTCTCTCCTTCCCCAGCACCTCACTGACTGCGCCGACATGTGGTTTCGGTCGCACTCCACCTGCCCCATCTGCCGGTCCACCGTCGAAGCTAAAGCGCCGGGATCAGATCACGCATCTCTCTCTCTACTATAATGATTTGGATCTTGGACGTCTCACCCTCATTACTTAAACACTACCTTACTTTAGACTTGTCACATAATCTTCAACATCGTTGACTTTCCTAAAGATCTTCAACTCTAGTTAATTTCTAATGCAAGTTGAAACACTTTGATTGGGTGATGGGGTTTGCATTTAGACTTCGGCAGCTAAGATTCGCTTTCCTCATACAAGGTTCGGTCAAATAGTGTAATCTGATCAAGCAGGAACAAGATCTGCATCTCTACATCTGTCCCTGTGATAGATATGTGCATGGATTCTTCTTCACGAACAGTACAGGACTTTTGTGTGGTCTCCGGAAGAGACATTGTGCGTGTAAAGCTTGTCGTTTGGTTCACATCTTATCGTTAGTCTCGGTCATTGAGTCCATTTAGATCTTTCTGAAAAGAATCAGTCAAAGCCATGCGATCTTTTAGGTCACACTAATCGAGGACAGGTTTGACTTACAGTGCCTTTAGCTTGAAATGAGGGACGAGGAGAAGACGAAGAACCGTAAAAATGAATGGCTTTTATTCGAGCAACTAAAAGTAGGAAGGAAGGAAAGAAAGAAAGAAAGAAATGGATGGAACTGTGCAAGTGTTTCCCGATGCCTCCACAATTGAATCCCTTCTCCAAGTCAATTATTCTAAGCAGCATCCCGATGCAGGAAGGATGGATCAAAGCAATCCGCCATCGTAGGGCACGCCGGCCTGAGGCAGCCAGTTATCCCCCAGAATAAAACTGCTGACCGTGAAGTTGGCGGCGTCGCTGCTGCCGATCACATGGTACCCCGGCCATGTGACGCGGTTGGCCACGCCGGCGCCGGGGCCGCTGTTGTTGTACTCCGCGTAGTACAGCGTGTCCAGCGCGAAGTCGCCGTTCCACGGCAGCCAGCCCGCCGGGTCGATCAACGAGTCCATGAACGACTGCATGATCACCGTCCGCGAGTACAGCTTCCACGGTCGGCCGAGGTACGTGATCGTCGACCCGTTGTCCGCCGCCAGATCGGCCGCAGCGAGGAAGTTGCAGTCTTGCATCGACGTGCCGGTGTTCTGGTTTGGGTCGGTCCGGCCTTGGGCGGTGATGGTGTTGGTCTGGCCTTGCAGGGGCAGCCGGGAGTAGACGTTGCAGCTCTGGAACACCACCGCTGCGTTGCCGAATATGTAGTCCACCGTGCCGTAGATGTCGCATTCCCCGTAGAACTGCCTCATGGAGTGGGTGTACAGGGTGTCTTGGTATCCCTCGAAGCTGCAGCTGTAGAAGGTGGACAGGTCGGCGCCGTTTCGGACCGCGACCGCCTGGTGCTTGGCCGGCCCGGCGGTGTTTTGGAAGGTCATGTTGATCCCCACGAAACCTTGTCCGACGACGGCTGCAGGTTAGGAACAAGCAATCGTAAGATCGATAGCTTCACGAAAGCCTAAGGAAAGGAGCATTTCGATGACAGTCCACGTACCGAACGTCGAGGAGTTGAAGGTAGTCCAGCCGTCAACGACGTTGTGGTTTCCGGTGATCACCGTCTGGTTGATCCCGTCGCCGATCATCATCAGATACTTCTTATGCTTGGAGATGACGACGTACTCCTGGTAGACCCCAGCGGCGACGTATATCAAGTAGTAGCCCGTGCTCCCGTCGAGGTCACTGGGGGCCGAGTTCACGGCGTCGCTGATCGTCGTGAAGTTCCCACTGCCGTCTTGGCTCACCAGCACGATGTCGTCTACCTGCACGGTGTCGGTCGCCTGAAGGAGCCGCCGGCCGCTCCACCTCTCGAACAGCCCTCTCTTAGGGGCCGACATCCTCAGCGGCAGCTCGCCGTTGCGGCCGACGTTGACTTCGTGGAATAGCAGCGACCTTCCGTGGGGGAGGACTCTCGAGGGAACACGGCCTCCGTTGCGCTTGTACTTTTTCTTGGGGATCCAGGCCTTCTTGAACAGCGCGAGGGAGATGCCGTAGAGCTTGGTGCTGTTGGAGATGGGGACGGAGAGGCCGTTCTTGACGGACCACGCCGACGCCGTGGCTTGCAGACCGTCGGAGCAGGTCTGCTGGTTGGTCAAGAGAGCAGAGAGGAGGGTCTGCACCTTCTCGACCTGGGGATCGAGGAGATTGTCGGTGTAGTTCAGCGTGGCTCCGGCCGACGTCAGGAAGTCGATGTTGAGGCTGGACAGTAGCTGGCAGTCCTGGAGGGCCAAGATGGCGGTCGACGACAGGGTCGAGCGGCCGGCGAGGTAGCGGTTGACCAGGTTGAGAAACCGCCCGGCATTGGACAGGGACTTGGCCAGGGAGAAGCGGCCGTAGTCGTAGAGATTGTCGGAGCCTCGGCGCGGGAGGACGGTCTTGCAGAACTTGGGGTCGAGCGTCGAGTTGCACGCGGTGGAAGGGTCGACGGGGGCCGACGGAGGGGCGTCGGATGAAGCTGGATTACCGAGGAGGAGGAGGAGGAAGGAGAGCAACAAGAGGAAAAGGACACCGGTGTGGGAAAAAGCCATGTCGTAAAGAGCTCTTCCTCGGGACGACGAAGGTGGTGAGCGGTCACAGGGGAGTTATATAGGAGGGTTTGAGGGGCTTCGTGGTCATTTCTCGCACTCCTTCGAAGGGAAATGGTTCTTCGCATTCTTGAGGAAGTCAAACCACGCTGCAAACCACTACGCCAATCAGCATAACATATGCGATATATCAGACTAATTAGGTCAACATTGTTGACTTTAGAGACCAATGAAACGCGTCGAGTAGGAAGTGAGTGAGAGAGAGAGAGTTCACATGTTTATGTTTTTAGAGAAGGAAATAGAATGACTAACGATTAAGAAGGGTGAATCAGCTTTTGCCGAGTAAAGTACACAAATCTGGACCGATGACAAAAAGCTCAATCTTAGATGTGGTTTCTCTGTAGTTTTGACATTGAAGAAACGTAAGAACACAAGTCATAGCGAGAATTGAGGAGAGGAGACAATTAACATACATCTTTTGACCACCGCAGCTGTATCCTCGTAGTCTTCGTGGTTTGGGACCAACTTTTTCGAACCCAATCCGTCGTACCGGTTCGGCTAATTGCCGAACTGAGATTGAATCGGTCAAACTGATTACGATCGGACTCGATTATGATTATAATTAAACCTATGTCAGATGTTCAATAAAATAATAAATATTATATTGAGAACATGAAGAAAAATACAAAGTACATTTTGATGTTATCTAATGGAAGCTGGAAAAGATACATCGCAACACGGTTTTGCAGTCATAATGCATCAGGCTGTCACACACATGTATTCCAAGACTAATAAGCAAGAGACGAGAACATTGTTTTGCAGGGACCCAACGAAGGGAATACATAAGCTGCTATTTTCTGCATGAAGACAGGCAGATTTGGGACACTTCCACAATGGAGTCAAGATGTGCAGTTCGGAGGTGGGACGAGGTCGGCAGAAGGAGGAAAGGTGTGTGGCTGATGATGACTTGTCAGCTCACCGTCGGAAGCGGATCGGACAGAGCTAATGGAATTTGACTGAGTTGCCAAACCTTTGAAGAATGGTTTTTCTTCTGCGGGTTGATAGCTATAATTTTCTTCTCTCAAAAAAGGTATAATAGTTTGGAAAAGAAAAATATTTATATTTAAAATTATGAGTAACTCAAATCGAAATCATTTTGAACGGACCTAAAAATTCAGTTTACAATTTCATGTTTTTGAAAACCAAAGATTACAGATATGAATAGAAAATTATGATTTTATTTTAAATTATACTTTCTTTTCTATTTTACATTATTTTTAATTAAAAAAATAAAAAATATGGTAAGATGCATTGTTTTCATTATTTAAGTTACAGTAAGATCTGAGATTAGCATCTTACTAAGATTACAACAGACACAGCTCTTGTTTGCAATGCTTCAAAACTGTTAAGTAGCATCAACCTTAAAATAGAAGCTTCAAAATGGGTAGGAATCAAACAAAATGTCTTATTGTGCTGATGATGCAAACATTATAAGTCTTAACAAAAAATCTTGCCGTTTGCTTTCTAAAATTGAAATGAGCAATAGAAGCAATGATGATAGGAACCTCTTAATGCTACAGCAGGAGTAAATAGTTCTAAGAGAAAGGGACAACCTGACTTAAACCCTAAAACCCCTGCTGTTCCTCCTTCCTCTAGCCCTCTCAAACTTCCTCCCCTTGGACCGGATGTAAGGCTTAGTGTGGCTATGTGGAACACCGGGAGCCTTACCAAAGTGCCTCACAGCTTCCCTGGCATTCTTTGGACCCCTGAGGAGTACCTGTACATTATTGTTCGATAAGCTATGAGGAAAACAATCAAGCAATTTTTACTACTTTGTTTTCAAGCAGTTGTACAAGCACCAAATATACAACTGGTTCATACCGACATAAAGCAAGTGATATTGGATAATGAGAGATGAAGCTACCGCATTCTTACTAGGCAAGTAACTACCAACGGATGATCATAACGATGAAGCTAAATTCAATAAGAACATTGATTGATACATATTGGACATTCAAATCAAGCATAAATAAAAAATTAAGTAGCCACAAGGACATCAAAATAAGAAGCATAATCCATCATAAGTTTTACATCCAATGACAGATCAATTTGGATAATCAAATGAAAACCAACTTTATGTGTATTTAATGGTCAAGTCATTCATTATGCTAAAATGGAACAATATGAACTTGCAGAAGTCCTACCTACTTGTTATCTAAAAAGGATAACTAGGTTAAGCATAGTTATCAAATGGATAGATGACAAATACCACATTAATACATTGTGACATAAGGCAGGCTTAAAACATGTGAGACATGTGACAGTCGGTACTTTTGGGGCACGTAGCCACTGGAACTGGTTTAAGAAAAGCTAACATATCGAATCAGTAGAAAAACCATGCGGGCTATATGTTAGCTTAATTGAGCCATCTCTATTGAAGGAACTCCCATCCTTCTCATTTAAACACCAGAGAAACTAATCTCAAGTCTAGTGTTGAAGAATCAAGTTTTCAAAAGGGTACTACGCTGCTGAAATTCAGAAAATCTCCTGCCAGATACAATAGACAACTAACGTTTAACCAAAAGCAACAATAAGCAAAATGTTCAACCACAAATGCGAGAAGAAAATGGCTACATCAAAAGATATATCCCTGTAAGGTAACATTCAATATATTATATATCTAATTTAGACCAGCTTCAACTTTTTCAAGGAGCACACTAATTAAAGCCAATAAACTGAAAAGTAAAAACCTACAGTTAAATCGTTCATAACAAATTCTCTACCTTAATGATGGTTAGTAGGACAACATATTCATGTGAAAAATACCCAAGCAGATAAATTGAAAAAAAAAGGCGAATAACGAAAACTAAGTCCATGCTTAGCATCCTTTGCATTTTATAAACAAATTTTCAAGAAGAGAACAAAAGAAAGTTTGTTAAAGCTCTTTCATGTTTTCCCAAAACCAAACACATTTAATTGGAAAATCTTCATCAAGGAGAGTATTTCTAGAAAATGAATATGTGATCTGCATACACAACCTGCATAGTTATTTCTATATGTTTTAACCCAGCAAATGAAAATATCCCCCTGTTGCAATGTCTGGTTTTCAAAGAACTAAAAAAAATTCTTATAATTTTAAAGAAACCATGCAGGATGGAGCATAATCAGAGGAAATCTCCAAATTGCTTTTCCCAGATTGACTTCAATGAACAATTTGTTTCTTCCATTGTTCTAAATATACATCATTGCTTGGAACGATGCTGTATTTGTATCAGCACCGACTTGTCACGAACGGTCATCGCGCACCCACAACAACTCCGTTCAACGAATCGTTCGTCGCTCTCATCTACATGTACAGCTACTTGGCAGCTTGTTTTGAGTCATTTTACTTGTAAAAATGTAAGTTCGAACAAATTGTAGCGCTACAAAGCGACCGCTCACTGAACCGAGCAAAACAACCCCAAAACAGCTCCGTTTTCGTGTTCCACGGGCTGTTTTCTGCTGCCCGCCTCCACTCACCAAAACGTTAACCATCTCAGCCCCTTTGAACCCCCCGGGTGGCACAGGGCTGAATGGGGCTTCGGTATAGTGTCGGGTGTTGAACAACCTTTCGTAAGTTGGCACGTTACCTTGACGGGAACTTGTTGTCACGCCCGACACTCGGTGAGCAACTGTTTGTGGACTTGCAGCTGTTCGTTCAACCCTCTAAAGTCCTTGTTTTCCCTCCTCTCCCTCTTTTCTCTTGTGCACGCAAGGTGCTCGCTGAATTTCTTGTAAAGCTTTCCCTCTTTTCGCGAGACGTCGGGACTTATCCGTCACTCGTTATTTCGAACTAATCAACTTTCTTTTTTACAGGTCCTTCGGGACCTGCAAGAGGTTGCAAGTGGGTTGATCTTTGCGGAGCAATATCGCAAGGGCGAAGCGCAACTTAGGCAACGCAAGCTAAGTTCGCGTCTTTGCCGCAAGGGTGCCTCGCGACTTAGGCAACGCAAGCTAAGTTCACGCAAGCTAAGTTCGTGTCTTTGCCACAAGGGTGCCTCGCGACTTAGGCAACGCAAGCTAAGTTCGCGTCTTGGCCGCAAGGGTGCCTCACGCCTTAGGCAATTCCAGCTAAGGCAGTGACAGACTGTAAGCCCTGCTTGCTTGGCCTGACGTTCAGCTCAAACCCGATGTGTTTGCCAAACAACAGCCTAGCCCAAAACTTGAGAAACTGTTTGGTTTTTAATAAGCTGAGCCCGAACAAACATTTGCACTTGTGTATAGCTCCACAAGGAGCTCAAGATGTATATAGTGTACATTTAATATATTAACAACTTACTTCAGTTTAACAGCTGAGATTAAATTGGACCGCTCACATAAGGATAAACCCAAAACAACCTCACAGAGTTCCCTCTTTCTGTCTTGGACACACCAGTGACATCAAGAGGCACCAGTTATATTAAATAGAGATTTATTCGTTTGCACAGATGTTCCATAACTAAAATAATAGAAATCATACCTCAAATAGGTTTAACATATGCTATAAGAAACGAGCTGCCTTAAAAGTTCCTTCTTTCACTCTCACATAGAGACACCAGGGATATCAAGAGGTACCAGTGATATAAAGTAGAGATTAGTTTATTTGCACAGATGTAGCATAGCTAAAATCATAGATATCATACCACAAATAGGCTTAACATGAGCCATAAGAAACAGGCTGAAAGTACGCAGAGGAAAGTGTTATATATACCGTGTTCTGCCCGAGAGGTGCCCGCAGAGCAAGCTGATCGAACGTCAAGCATTCGCCACCGGCCTTTAGAATCCTAGCTCTCGCCGTCTCCGTGAACCTCAGAGCCGTCACCTTGAGCGCTGGAACCTCATAAACCCTCTTATCGTCGGTAACCGTCCCGACAATAACAGCAATCTTGTTGTCCTGGTAGGAGAATCAAGCCAATCAGGAGAATACCCAATCAAAACCATAGTAACAAGAGACGAGATAAAAGGTCCAACCTTCCCATTCATGAAAGTGATGAGCCTCTTGAGGGAGATCGGAGGCCTGTTGATCTTGCTCATGAACAGCCTCTTCAGTATCACCGCGTTGAACTTGCTCCCCGTCCTTCGCACCAAGAACCTGTAGAGCTGATCACATGATAAAGACAAACCAATCCATTAGATTCAATTAACATCGTAACGAGGAAACCAACCGATCTAAAAAATCACACCTTGACGAGGAGCTTGAGGTAGACATCGTCGGACCTTGGGGCTGTGCGCCTCGCCTTCTTGCTCCTGCCGCCCGCGACGAGATCGATGCCCTAAAAAACCAAAGACAAAGAATACAGATGAGAGAAGAGGGGGAAACAAGGGTTGCTAAACGAGAAAGGGTATTCGAAATGGGAGCACCATGGCCGCTCTCTGCTGCTCCTGCTACCCGCGGTCGCTTCGTGTTTTCTAGGGTTTAGCTCTTATATATATATATATATATATAAAGAGTTTTCATGTTGTCATTTTATGTAATCCAAAATTGTTGTAAAAAATATATTACATATATCTTAGTTACTTTTTATTTTTTTATAAAAATAATACATCATATATTAGTAAAATATTTTTTATGATTAAATTTTATGAGGTGTTTGGGACCTAACTAGAAAATCAAATGTCAAAAATCATTACATAAGTGCTTGATATTTAAAAAAATTAAAAATATATTTTAAAATTTTAAAAAATAATATACTATATAGGACCTGAATGATTTTAAAAATATTAAAAATATTGACATGTCCATCTAAATTCAATTCAGAAGTATCGTAAAACTTTCAGGATATTTGGCCAAAAATAATAACATCACATGTTAGTAAAATTTTTAATAACTAAATTTTTATCAGGTATTTGGGACCTAATCAGAAAGTCAGATGTATGATAATTTTATGAAAATTTTCAAAAATTTTGGAAAATTAAAAAATAACACACTTTATAGGAGATAAAAAAATTCTAAAAAATATAATTTTTTTTTTAAAATAAAAAACACTGACATATGTCCAACGCGATCAAATTTAAAGATATCTCCAAAATTTTAAAATATTTTAACAAATCCTACTATTTTTTAGATTTCGTTCAAAAATAGTGCATTACATATAAGAAAAAATGGGACCTCATTAGAAGCTCAAATGTCAAAAAAAAAATTACACAAGTACATGATATTTTTGTGAAAATTTTAAATATATATATATTTATATTTATATTTATATTTATATAAACACCCCAACATCTAGTATTACATATTTCAAAAATTCAATCAAATTAGGGAAGGATGAAGAAATTGGTTGGTAAATGGTATTGTATATCTCAAATCTTATAGAGGATGAGAGGTGATTGTTGAGTGGATGGTGATGAGGTCCATCACTGATCTTATAGGAGAACAAATAAATCACAGCATCACAATGAATAAGCAGAACATCCAACAACTCCATTCATTCACCAGTGTGTCTGCAAAAGACATTATAACATACTCGATAGGTGCCTTTAATAACCTCTCATTCCAGCTACCATTATCACAAGCTCTTTTTACATTGTCTGCAAAAGAAGGAACAACCACACCAACACTATGTACATTATAAGAGACTTCAGTTCTGAGCTCTCATCTTTCATAACACTACTAGAATTTTACTTGCACCAACAAAGAAACCTTGCCTGTATCTCCCATGAAGTAGGTATTAGATCTGCTCAAACCTCATGTAGAATCCTGGGATCCGACGCCTGCCATTCCTCCTTCCATTCTTCCATAAGCATCGGATGATGATTTCCTCCTGAATCGGTTCCACTACCCACCTAAAAGTACCAACAAAATTCTTGGTCAACCAAAAGATTGCAAATTGTTTGGAACATTCTGACATCAACAAATTTATGTCAAAATTCAGCATACTTCCAGTGATTTAGTCTTACCTCTAAATAATCATGCAACCAAAAGGAAGAACCAAGGAGTGCTAAGATGGATGCCTGACAGAACTATGATAGAATAACAAGTGTCACGATTACGTCAAACGCGCATTAAACAAATGGCATTCAAGATTATATTACAAGTTGAAGTCGTAGACTACACTGCCAAAACTAGATTCAGCAAGCTTCGAGTAATCTAATCTCACCTTTAAATAATCGAGATGTTACCAATCGCAAGCAGCAAGTTGTCCTAAAATGGATATCTGAAAGAATTATGATGGAACTGCATCATAACAAGTTGAAGTAGTAGCCTACTAATCATTGTTAAAACTAAATTCAGCATACTTCGAGTAATCTAATGTCAGTTCTAAATAATAAAGATGTAAGACAAAAGGAAGAAACAAGAAATAATAAAATGGATGTCCTGTAGAATTATGATAGAGAAACAACTCATATCATCAGGTCAAAATAAACTACTAAGAATTGTCCAAAATGAATAAGTAGAAATAGGTCCAAATACATTCAAAGCTTAAACCTACTGATGGCAATTTAAGACCAGCAGTGTTGGGGGGTTATTGTTATGGCACAACCATGACAATTTTACTATAAACTATAAAAGGAGATCCGACTGCTTTCAATTTAAGTATAAAAGTTCTCTAGGCATAGATCAATGATAGAAAATCTACATGTAGCCGACCCAAATAATTGGGAATTTATGAGTTATTATTGTGTTGTTGTTGCTGCACTTGCACAACAATGAGACGGGAGAGATAGATTCGAAGAGATTACAAAATTTCCAAGCTATTAATGATAATTAAACAACAATTTGACTCTTAGTTGTTCTTCAAGTTGTTAGTTTGTGGCTATTGATGTTGTATAAGTACCCAAATTCGAAGCTTCAAGCTGCTCATCTTACATTTGTACTTGAGGACCACAAGCTATCATGCTGCATACATTTTCTGTAAGCAGAAGAAATAGCCAAATCAACCTGACAGAGTCTGACTGGGTTAGGTAGCGATCAAAGCACACATCAGTAAGCAAATCTATTGTAGCACAATGAAAATGCTGCTAAAGCACCAAGTCCTCACCGGAAAAGGGCGAGATTGGCGGCGTGGATCCGGCGGGCGACGCCGGCGGCGTGGCATTCGCAGGTGATGATCATGATGCTCCGCGTCACCCACACAGCCACCTCCTCGCCGGCGCCCTCCGATCGGCCGGTTTCTGCGTCCTTCGCTGCTCCCTCTGCTCCACCACCACATGGCCGCCATTGCAACCGTCGGATCAGAGGCGGCGTCATCAGATCGAAGGACGCCTCCGATCTGGAATCAATTCAAGGAGAAAAAGAGAAGAAGAAAAGGCCCGAACCTTTGCCGGAATTGGAGCAGAGGCCAGAGAAGGACTGCTTCCGGAGCCGGCGACGGTGTCGTCCCAGAGCTGGTCGAGAAGGCCCATACCTCTCCGCCTACCTGTTCACAGAAATGCCCCTGAGAATAAGAACTGACGCTGGAAAGAATGCTCCAATACAACAGAGGGGAGGCCAAGGGAGAAGGGGTGCTCGTAGAGGGAATTGGTCACGCGTGGATCGATCTGGACCGTTGATTTGAATCCACATGGTGACGTGGTGGCATAAGAATAGGATCTGCCGGGGCTGGGGATCCAGATATCTTCTATACGCAAAATTTCAATAGTGTGCCCTGTCACAAAGAGACAGGTCATGTAGTCAATGAGATTGAACGATACGTGTCGACTACTTATAGGTTGATTGATGTTGAGTGTGGTGGATAACGAACAGAAGAGATTTTGCTAGCAGTGGGGAGACATGGGGAGGAGGAGGGGAGTCACGTGGGATTCACGTGACGAACGGGATTGGTATCTGTTTCTGCTTTGTCATGTAGAATTCAACTATTTTTATTTTATTTTATTGAAGTTGATTTTAGTTAATTAATTGAAACTTTCTTTTTCCGATAAAATTTGGAAAAAATACTAAATCAATAATTTCAGGCACTAATTATTTCCACAATACTCCTATCTAAGATTCATATTAAATGCTTTAAAATAAAATAAAGCATTGTCCATTATTCTTTCATTAATTATTGAAATATTTAGTAAATAAGAGAAAGAAACGACGAAGTGAGTGCGAGAATGAAGAGAAACGTTCTCCTAATTTATCTTATCATATTCTTTTTATTTAGATGTAATAATCACTTAAAAGTTCATCTCCATCAAACGATGTATTGTGATTCGACAACAATCTCAAAGCAGACCGTTCTGATGATTACCGCCTCGCTGGAGAAGTTGCATATTTACAGTAACATCATCATTCCCCTGAGATATGCTCGATGACAGCCATGGAAGACCTCAAAGCAGCTTGACACCAGCATCTCTCATGGAATCTATGACGGCCTTGACCTTTCCATGGTATTTTTGCTCCTTCTTCAAGAACACAGAAACAGCAGGGATGCCCCGGAGCAGCAAACGCTCGCCCAGTAGCTTCCCGATCTTGGCCGCTGCAGCGACATCTCGGGTGGAACCAATGCTTGGCCTCAGCAACTTTTCTTGTGAGCTTGCTGACACGGCGACCTCGGTGGTAGGGGTGTGGATAACCTGGGCACTGACATGCTTGTCAGTGATATGCATCTTCAGCACATATGGCTTGAGGAAGCCGGGGATTCTTGACGGCCTAACTATAGGCATAACCATCTCTGTGGTGGCGATGACCTGCAAGGATCAAGAAGGATTAGGTTCTAGAAACCAAAACAACATAAAAGTTTGAACTTAATAATTGATGACCATTTTCTGTTTTATGCAATTTATCTATTGATCGACATGTACGAGACTATTAGGAAATATAATATCTTATCAGCATTATTTTGCACCAGACAGGTGGGCTTATATAACTATAACTACTAAATCCAGAAGCACATAATTTTCTTGCTGAAGTCTTCATGTAAATTGGTGCTAGCTTTCAGAAAACACAATACTGAGAATGGTACAGAAAAAGAAATCAAATCTAATAGTTGAATGCTATGACTGGTGGTTGAAGATGAACAATGCAATTGGCTTCAAAAGAAAAGCAAATATTATCTCAAGCTGCTTAAACTGTGTTTCAGACAACCGGAAGTAAAAAAGAAGAACAACTGCAGGAGGTCAGGAAGAAAGATAATACAAATTAAAACAAAAAAACAGGTTCTCTTTCCTGGAACGGAAACTCAAGGTGAAGAAATGCTTTTCATCCATTCAACACTTTAAGGGTTTTGTCAGTGTTATCTAAGACTATACCACAACTGGAGTTCACATTTCTAACAAAAGAAATATAGTCTGCAATTGCACTTTAAAAGGTGTCGTGAATAACATTTCTAACCATAAGTTTATTTTGGCTTATCATGTGCTAGAAATGGTAGCAGATGTATCAAAATTCACCAAATCACAAGATATTAACACTCCGAATTGCTATCACTTGAACAACCCAAACTGAACAATCTTGACCATTAATTCTGCCTTCAATTAATGAAAAGGTGGAATGAGGAGGATAACAATTAATATAATTCTGGTCGCCGATGAGTTGGTGGTTGGTGGTGATCTTTTCCTGCTACTTTCTCCGAATTAAGACTTTGTATGAAAGTGACTGGACTACTGGACTTCAATTTAGAGGCTGTCCAAATATTTGGAGTAATAAAACAAGGTCATAACAATCGTAGAAAGCTGAGAAAATCAGGTAGAGCCTTCATTAGTTTTCCCCAACAAGGGTCTTCCATCCTTTTTTCCTTCCAGGAATTTCAGATATCTCGACCACTGTTGTTAACTTTGAGAAAGTACAAGGATATTTAATTTTCCATTCAGATTCGATGCTGCAAGTTCAAGTTTGTTCGAATGCAAAAGCCTTCGTAAGCAAATATTAGAAAAGCTAAACAGAGAAGAATACTCAGGATTGCATGAGAGGATTGAAGAGAAATAGCAGATGTCTTCGTTACGAGAAGAAATTAGAAACCAAATGCAGATATCAAAATTATTAAGGAAGAGAAGGTTCCAAAAAATTCAACATAGCAAACTCAAATGGCAATGAAGACCAAAATAGATGGAGAAGGGTGATGGTGACAACTCCTACTTCAACATGATTGAGGGCAGAAGGAATGATTTCAAATTTTAAAAATCATGGGATGAAGCTGAATGAGGTGGAGGAGATTGTGTTGTGGATCATGAGTGTGTGTACTTTAAATTTATCATAATCAGGTGGTCAAGCTGACTGAAGAAGAAGAGCTGATGTTATGATTCAGAGAGAGCTTTTTTCTGTTCTCGCAACCTTTCTATTGGAACTGACTGTTCTCTACTTCACTGCAAAAGGAAGGGGCATAGGATCTAATGAAAATGCATATCATAAATATGGCTGAAAGAAACATGTGCAATTTAGGCAAAAAAGAAGGAACTGGTTGCATTTGTCCTCTGCTAGAAGTTCAATTCCTGTGCAGGACAGACAGAAGCTAGCTTTATTACATTTTCTTGCTTATGTCGAGCTTGATTTCTTCAGATGTGTAGACACGATTTCCCAGCGGCAAAATATCACTCACTCCCCCACCCAAAAGAAGGAACGAAGATTCTAATAGAAAAGCCATATTGTTGCAGTATTGGAGAATGCCGTTTCCAGATTCCAATGACACCAAATGTCCAAGAAAAGGTGTATTGCAGCCGTAATCTCGAGGGTTGACCTACCCATCTGATGATCCAGTGTTTGAACTAAATATTTTGGGGAAGGGAGTACCTGGTGCGGGGTGGCCCGGAAACGGAGAACCAGGATAGAAGAGAGGAGGACGAAGCGAGAGAGGGAGTCGCGGCCGGCGACCCCGGGGGGCGTCGGAGCGGACGAGGTAGGCCGGTTAGGTCTTCCGACAGGAACGCAGCGCGTGAGGCGAGGGAGAAGGCCGACGGTTTGTTTGTGGATGACGGATTGTTTCGTCTCGCACTCGAACCCGACCCGTTAACCTTTCAGTATGTGAAAACCGAGCCGCAAGCCTTACCCGGTCGAGACTCGAATCAAATAATCGAATGCGGTCCGACGTGGGCTTTGCACCATGCCAAATGTAACCGAATTGATCCCATCAAAACAATATTAAATTTCACTTTAAAAAATAAATAAAATAGATCTATTTTAAGAAAAAAAAAACCCCTCAGATTGATCATAGCAGCTTTGGTTATTTGTTATAAAATGGATAGGTTAAGGGCTAATTATATATTAACGAGTTAGCTACTTTAAGTATTTTCGTCCCTATACTTTAAAAGATTATATTTGTATCTTTATAATTATAAAAATATTTTTGTCCCTATATTTTAAAAGATTATATTTGGATCTTTATAATTATAAAAGTAAAACATGTAAGCCTATTTATCTTAATATTGTTAGTCTTATCAACAAAAATATGAAAATAAAAAATAAAGAGATAATTTTAATGTTTTAATTAATGATGATGGACGATGGTGTCGTTGGGAGTCGCTCTACATTTGCGTCGATGTCAACACAGTTGCCGAGCAACTCCTAGTGACGTTATCGTCCGTCATCACTAATTGAAACATTAAAATTATCTTTTTTACTTTTTATTTTTTATATTTTTATTAATAAAACCAACGACGTCCAGACAAATGAACCTGGATATTTCACTTTCGTAATTATAAAGATGACAATATAATTTTTTAAAATATAAAAATAAAAAACTAAAATTTATAATTAACCTAACTTAGTGAAGGTTATGATTAGTAAGATTAGAGCATTGAATCTTATCATCATCAATTACTATTTGGATAGGCTTATATATATATATATATATATATATATATATATATATATATATATATATATATATATATATATATATATATATTCTGTATTTTATATTTATTTTATGCTTGAATTTTTTAATTTCAATTAAAAGTATTACAAGAAAGTTGCAGTGGAAAAGAATAAACATAGAAATATAATATAAAGGTCATAGATAAACCAGAACATGACTTGTGAATAAAGAAAAAAAATTGATAATTTAGTTTGCCAATATTAATTATAGTAACAGTTTTCTGCAACCCTTCATAATGACAAAAGAATCCCCATTGAAGTCATTGGTGAATCCTTGCAACAGTTCAGGAGCTCACCATCTTTAGATCTCCCCAGCTCTATTACATCATGAAACATCAATGGCATTGCAACTTGCAAAATGTTCAGGAATGTCTACACTGGGAGGCTCGATAGGCATTGCAAAATGAACCATCTAGTTAAATGTTGGATTAGATGTGTTAAAGACTCTCTCTCTCTCTCTCTCTTCTCGACAAAACAGTGGAAAAAAGAAATACAGAAAAAGTAGCTGATTATTCTGAAGGGCACAATAAAATTGGTGATGTGAAAATACAAGGCCAGGCTATGACAATTCCTGGAAATTGAGTTGAATCAGGAACTTATTGGTCTCTTCAAGAATACCTCATACTTCGAAGGCTGCAGCTGAGTTCAAATTTCAGAATCAACAGAGGGAATCAGAACTGAAAGAAAATTGAATCAGGAACTCATGATCTCTTCAAGAATACCACAAACTTCAAAGGCCATAGCAGAGTTCAACTGAGAGAAGCAGAGTGTAATGCAAGAGCACCAGAGCAAGCTGTAGCCAGTACAATTTGGAGGTTTTTCTTTGTGGAGCTGCACTTCTTGGTGATGAACCTGAAAAGAAAGTAAGATAATATTCCATTTAGACAACCAGCTAACAGTTAGCAGTATGGAAGTAAATTTAGAGTTCCTGAACCAAAGACCCAAGATTGTTCAGCAGCGTTGCTATTTCATCAGATTTCTGCATATGACATTCTACCACTATTTAGCTTGTGTTGGTGATAACATTTGCACAACTATAAAGTCTTTTGACCCAAGAAAAGCAATTTATATTAAGAAAAGTTTGTGCTAGAATGTCTAGCTAAAATCAGTTAAATCCAATACCTTCAAAGAAATATCCCCATACATATCCTACAGAAACAGTATTTGGCATTATTGTATGTACTATGTATAACAACTCAATACAAACAGAAGAAGATGGGACTCCATGATTTATACAAACAAATAAGGAATAGGAGATCATATTCCACTTATCTAATTCTACAAGCTTGGAAACAAGGATTCATTTTACGCTCATCAAAGATCATTAAAGGAGATGGGACTCATATGTCATGAAAAATATACCTCGTTGCCGTCTTCTTCAGCTCAGCTCCTCAAACAAGAAGCGAGGAGAAAGACATCCCATTGCTAGCCATGGTTCCTAGTATTCTCTTTATATGGTTGGGCACAACATTCAGCAGCAAATTTCTTCGATCTCTCCAGTGCTTCAGTCTCACCACCCACAAGAGTAGCAATTGCGACAGGTTTGCCATCCTGAGTCATATAGTATGCCACATCAACTAAAAATTTCAAGATAAGTCATAAGAATGTAGCAGATGCTAACATGGTTTGATTAATCATAAAATATGAGAAGAGAAGTACCAAAGACCATTTAAAACAACATCAGATATATTTAAGTCACTATGAGAAGAGAAGAACCAAAGACCAATTAAAACGATATCAGATATATTTAAGTCACTAGAAGCTGAAACTATCAAACTCTATAGTTTTGGTCCATCTTTGAGTAGAAGATCATGAGAATCTAATGAAATTTGGACATTGCAGGATCTTTTTAGGTTGAAAAGTATTTTTTCATTGAGCTGACTTAAACTTCTAATTTTGCCATAAACTAGTATGACTTCAGAAATGAATAACCACATAACAAGGAACCATCTTAAAATTGCTTATTTCACTAACAATTTTTACTACTATTGCCTCTGATACAATCCTTTTTCTTGTGCAACTATTCTTTTCTTCTTCTTTATCTGTCATTCCCATGACATCTTATTCTGCGGTTTTGCTTCCACTCCCTTACTAGTTAAAAAGCCCTCTTTTTTTCCTTCAGATGCTTAGAGAACTTACGAATTTTTCACAGGATATCAAAATTTTTAAGACTTAGAACAGTTAAAAGGGACGAACTTGAGACAATAAATCAAACCTGCAAAATGGTTGGTGTCGGATTAAGCCTGAGGTCTTGCAAGCTTGGGATCTCCCCGGGATCAATATCCCCCGTCGACGGCAGCCCCTTAACCTCCTCAGGCGTCTCAATCGTCTTCCTCACGGCCACGCCCTTCACTTTCTCCCTAAACCCTCCGTAATTGGTCGGCATGTGCTCTAGCTCGAACGGCAAATCATCGACGTGGTGCAGCGTGCTTCCCAAAAGTACTTCACCTCGACTCCCTCGGCCTCCATTGCCTTGACCACCCGCTCCGCCACCGGCGCTTCATCCTGAGACACCTCCCAGTGGGCGAACACAGCTTCGGCGCCAGCCGCGCGCCACGAGGTCAGATCCGCGGCGGCGCAGCCCGGCGCGGAGGTCAGCGACGGAGTCAACGAGGAAGCAGGCGCGGCAGTGGCCGGTGCGGTCGAATCCGGCGCGGGACCGGCCGAAGTCGCGGAGTCAATGAGGAAGGCGGGGAGGAGGGAGAGAGAGTCGGCGGAGGTCGGCGCGGAACCAGACGATGGAGCAGCGGCGGAGGAAGGGGGAGGGCGAATGGAGAAGGGAGTTGGAGATCTTGGAAGGGGTGGAGTGCTTGGAGGGGGGGAAGAGCAGAGGGAAAGTGAGAGGGAGGAGGAAAGAGAGAGCGAGGGAGATGGAGGCCAATGGCAGATTGGTGGTGGTGGCGACGGGGTTGAGTTCGGTGGTCATCTACTGGAGGTTGGTGATTTGGCTCCATCGAGTTGAGTTGGAAGTAGCGGTTAATGGCGCTTTATATATAGAAGTTTTGTTTAGTGGAAATATTTTTTAGTATTATATATTACAAGTTTTATATGAACGTCAATATAATTTCGTCTTTTAAAAAATAAATAATATTTTACGAAAAATAAAAATAATAACAATTTTAAGTATTTTTCTAAAATAATTAATCCTTTATCCTTCTAGCTAATAAAGATAATATATTAAAGCTCTCTAACATCATACATAATATAGACATCTTAATTAGCTCGTCCCTCCCGTGGAAGCAAGCTTATTGACAAGAGCCAAGGCGTTGCTGGTGAAGTGGGTAGCGTTCAAAACCTTGCTTGTGATCACACTCACCGCCGCCCCCTTCCCCTGCAACTCGGCGAACCCATCGAGGCAGGTGTCTTGGTTGGTGAGCGCGGCGCTGACCCACGTCTCCACGTTGCTCATCTGCAACGCGAACGTGGTCCGCTGCAGCTGCCGTAGCTCGGCCAGCGCGTCCCGCAGCTCCGACACCGCGTCGGCGAGGCACTCGACGCAGTCCGCGAGCGCGGCGCGAGCCCGCCGCCCCCGGATCCGCCCCCCGCGCTGCAGCCCCGCCAGGTAGCCGCCCACCCTCTCCGACTCGACCGCGGTGACCACCACCGCGGCGCGCGCCCACAGGCAGGGGTTCTCCGGCGCCGCGGCGCGGGAGAAGCCGGCGAGCGAGCGCACGCACAGGGAGGGGTAGCGCGTCGCATTGCACGCGGCGTTGAGGTAGTCGTCGGGGTCGGGGGCAGCCGTGGAGGTGACGAGGTGGGAGGAGATGGTGGTAACGAGGACGAGGAACGCAGCGGTGAGGGATTGGGATGCCATGTCGGTCCTCGAAGCGGAAGAGTAAGCTGTAGGAGGTTCTTAAAAGGGATCGGTGAAAGCTTCAGCTTTACAGGCATGACAGGTATCTCATGTAGGCAAGAAGGGGATGAGCATGATAAATGCAGGGAGTTGGGAAGGTAGAAAGCAGACTACTTTCTCGTGTTAAGATGGTGAAAGGCTTATCAGACAGTAGCAGCAAAAGGAAGATAGATAACACAATGAGATGGGTTTTGATGCGATGAGAAACAAAAGCAGCCATAGGAGCTGTTCCTTTTTGTGCGAGGAATGTGAGCTATGGAACAGTGCAAGAAGACGATGGAAGTTAACACAGTGATGACTGCATTCATTGCAAGGTCATTTTGGGTACAGATGTGTGAGTGGCTTGATGGCCACAGGATGTTGAAGACCCTATTACGATATGTATGTATTATTTGAAGTCAAATGGACAACAATATCTTTGGAATTACTACAATTAATGAGTATCAAACAAATCAGATTCCACTCTAATGAGACTGACAACAAGAGAAATCTGCCTTGCAGTACTTCTTCAGCATAGTAAAAATAAGATGAAAAGAAAGATCTGATTTATTTCAGTCTCAGTCAGAGTCAATAACCTTAATTTTCTTAGCATAAATCAAATATCAAATGTCAACTCTACTGTAACATACAAGTGCTAATTGACTAAAATGTATTCTAGTATTTTACCTATCATTCTATAAAAGGAGTGGTCAACTACATTGTCCTCTTTTTATTTAACCTTTTGTCATATAATGATAGTTCCAGCCTGTGAGGAATCTACTTATACATAGAACAATTTCATACCATTTCTCATTAAAGAGCAGCATGTAGTTGTCACATCCTACACAGTCAATTCCACTAAACTGATGTCTGCTTAGCAATAAAAGTGCACCTAATTCTAAACTGAATTGTCTTCATGAGAATTTTGATGAGATGCTCTATGTATGACTTTGCACTGTCTTGATGGAAGAAAATAACAGAGGCATAAGGTAAATCAAACAAAAATATTAAGACCTTGGAACAAAAAGATCAAAGCCAACAAGATCAATCTGATAACTCTGAAATTAGAACAGCACAGGGTTGATGTTCTCAATAAAAGCTGAATCACTGATGTTTATAGCCTCAACAGGAATTGCATCCAAATATCTTTCTGATTGACAAGGTCAGTCTACACTAGATGAGATTGTTAACTCAGGTTGTAGAACTCAATCAACCCAGATCTGTATCAAGACATCTATCAAGAGGTAAATCTAAGTCAGAGCACCTTTGATAGAATCAATTTACTTTCTCAAATCAAATGCCAACTTCGTAAGTCTTGACTAAATCACTAAAGTGTGATGAGTTTCTTCACTGCCAACACCAACTGAATCAGATGATTTTCATTGCTCGAGATTCAATCAAGTAAAATTTCTCATAATAAGTTACTTTCTACATGCCATCTAATATAGAAGATCTTCACTGCTTGCAATTTAAGCAAGTAAAATTTACCATAATAAGTTACTACCACATGCAGTCTTATATATTTTACAAAGTAAATTCTACCTTATGCTGGTGCATCAAAAGCCAGTAGTTATGAGCATCAAATGACTCAAATCCTTTAGGATGCTATATAAGATTCTAAGTACTTGGTGATGTCTAACAGTTACAAATCCAACATTTTCATATACTAAATATCCAATTCTTAAAAAGTATAAATTTAAATAAGTTAAATTGAGACAATAATACGTCATTTGCAGAACTCAGTCAAGTTGTCTTAAGCAATATAAATCTTTGACACAGCTTCAGAATTTTGTTGGATGTCTACCATGAATTATATGTCAATAAAATACTCACTGCTACTACATATCTTTGGTCATACTAATATCATCTGCAACATTAAGCAGCAAAGAAACTATGCATGAATGGAGGGTCAATAATATATTGTGAATGAGTGTGTGATGCAAACCAAATACTGCTGGAAATGGTACCAAGGTTTCTGTTCTGAATATGATTGAAATAGTTGGGAAAGAAGCAAAAGAGGAATGATGATTCATCTGCCTTTATCAGCGTCTCTGAAATAGTATTGATGGCATTAGAATGAAATAGTTAGAGGTTGTTGAATCAAAAGAATATGTTCAGATGCTAAAATATATAACATTTTATCTAAACACTTATTTATTAGCGAAGAAGAGGATAGGTTGCAAGCTTCAAAGTCAAATTCTGGGAAACTGAAGGTTGATTGTTAGGATGTCGACTTGTCTTTTAGCTGATAACTTGAAAATAAAACAAAAACACAGAGGTAGAGCAAAAGGACTGGGCAGAATTTCAAACAAAATATGCCTTTTGAATCTTGATGAGTTTGAGGCCACCTTTGGATGAAAATGAGTAGGTAGCACATCTTAAAGAAAAACAGACTAGCAGTTGTTTGAACATTATATGACAGAGAAGTCTGGATTCCTAATGTTGAAAAATCTTTTCGGTACAGAACTGGTCTCTTACATATTAGAGACTAGAGAGCACAATTAAATTTGGTCACATAATGTTGTTTGGTTTGGCAGGACTCTTAAACATGCTTTCATGCTCTGGTTGGCTATTAAAGACAGGCTTCTTATTCAAGACAAATCACCATAGCCCCCTACAAGTTAATAAGAACATCAACATGGATAAAAATTTTAATTCTCCAAACACAAAGATCACAAAACTTAATAGTCCTATTTTCCTTCTGCCATATAAATGGAGCTCGAAGAACAGGTAACCCAACTGTTAGACAATAGTTTTCTTTTAACTCCATGTGAACATCTTCACAGGACAGACAGTATTCCAAAAACCAACTCATTTAAAGCTTAACCTGAAACAACGATGGCCGATTACCTTTGAAGGATGCAATCAGCCAAAAACTTCCTTAGGTAGACTTAGAAAGAACATCTTCTGAGGGAATCTCCAGCGTTGCTCCAGCATGTTACTTCGTAGGTTTAACAACTGCAGAAGAAGAATTAGGTGATTAAAGGGGAAATCTATAGCACAAATGACCAACTACAGAATTGATGCATAGGAAACCAAATCACTCTTGCAAGAAATAATTCATAGAAATAACTTCTTCAGCGTCCCATCAAAAGCCAAGTAATTGATCATCATATTCTTCTATCAACAAAGCACCATGTGATAACATTTAAGTGTCATCAGATGTTCGCAACAAGGGAAACAGCAACTGAAAGGGTTACCATCACAGATAAAATAGAAAGTTCGGAACTTTGTCGGAATCATTACCGTAACCGCCAGAGGGGATGAGCTTTAGTTGTTCGATCATGTGGGACATGAAGTCGAAGGCCTCGCGGGCCTCGTCGAGCAGAAGCTTGACATCCGCCTCGGCCGTCACGCCTCGGTTCTTCTCGAACCTTTCCCGGATCACCACCGCCGCCTCCGCCTGCCTCAACTTGTCCCCAGGAAAGTACTCCCGCGTCGCTCTCAGAAGGGCGCGGTACGCCGCGATCGCCTCCGTTGCCCCCATCTCGAGCAGTCCGAAGAGACTCCAACCGCTATGGCAACCCTACTTAGCACGGCCCATTAGCCATGTTATAAGACCGGCTAATAAATGATGCGTGCACAACATTTGATATTTGCTAATTAAATCATATTGTGAGAGGAAAAAAAGGCAAATTATAAATCACAAAAAAAGTTTTTTATTTTGACTATGAATTATATTTGCCTCATATCTTTTTATAATACTATTATCAAACACACACACATCCGTGAGGAAGATTTAGTTAAGGGCTTTTATCTTATGACATCCCTTAATTGGTTTTATCACATTGACAAAAATATTTTATCGTCCTCCGATCATCATTGCCTCCGCTACCTCCACCCTATGCTCCCACAACTTGCCCATTGTCTCCTCCCCCTCATCCTATCCTTTCTCTCTTTTCCCCCTCCTACCCCCACTGTGCTTCTCCGAGCCCATCAGCATCATGCCACCAAGAGTGATGCCACCATCGTGTTCCTCCAACACTTCTGCCACCGCCTCTATCATTCAAAAGTGTCGTTATGTCCTTTTTTAGTCGACACATGTAGAGCTGTGTCGATCTCCAACTCGTCTGCTCCTTGACACTTGTCTTGCCCCAACACCATATTTAATAACGATGCCCACACGTCAGCAGCCACATGATACACCATCACCACATCCAATGTCATGCATGCAAAGAAGATTCGTATTATTGGTCCATATCGATGTACCAACTATTGATATAATATATATCAAGCTGTATCGAATATACCAACATATGATACATAAAGGTGTATCGATATACTACCCAAATCTCTTATTGGATCGGTACATATCACCCATTGCTAAATAGTATATCATGATACGTTGAACCTTGGTCTATCGAGGATCAAACATCCAAGCTTGCAATGCTACACAAAGTTCTTAAAGTCGTAGATGTGGACCTCATTAGAGGTGATCCACGTCTCAGGGTAGACCCATCGATTGTCACTAGCTCTCAATCCATGATTACAAGATGGCCGAAAAGAGACAAGCCATGAGAGAGATTGAAAATAAAAGATACAGACAAGCCATGAGAGAGATTGGAAATAAAAAATACATAGTTCCAAGTGTTGGCGATGGACGATCTTGCTCGTAATTGGAGCAAGGGTCGAAGGTGAAACGACACTACTAACGATGGACGAAGACAACGACACCACTAACGATGGACGAAGACAACGACGACGATTGAGGGTGACTGATGAAGTGCAGATGATATTTTTATCAAAATGACAAAAAATACTCGAGATAAAAACCAATTATCCAAAGGTAAAAAGTCCAATAGTAAAGGTTTTCGGGTAAAATATAAAAAAAAATAAATAAAGTTGCATTTTTCAAGATAATTGAAAGCCAAATACACTTGTTCTTCCGAAACAATTTTATTTGGATCAGCATCATGGCATTCAAACGACTAAAATCAGCCAAACTGAATAAAGAACATCAAAATTTATAAGAACAACATATCAAGATTAGCCACAGGCAGCACACTGCTCTCCTCTGCGGATCTTGATGTAATGTTGCAGTTAAAATCTACATAAACTTGACCGGGATCACAACCGGTTCCATTGTTGGAACATGTTCCCTTCAAGAAATTGTTTCCAGGCCTTCAGTGGACTCACATCTCGAACAATTTCACGGCTCTCGTCCCTTATCCTGCCATTTATAAACAATCCTCTAGCAGCAAATCCCATTAGCTCAGACGGATTCATATAACCTCGAATTCTGGAGATGATGCCACCTTCATCAAAGAACCCCATCCTAATAACCCGAGGAGAATTTGTTGTGTGGGATCGGTCATGTATTCGCATGGGCTGATCATCTGCTACTCCACTACTTATCTGTGAACGTTCCTCCAGCATGTAGTTTTCAATACCAAATGCTTCCCAATCAACCTGCTGCCAAATTCCACAACCATGTTCTCTATCATGTACAGAATAGCAGTCCCTGACTTCCAATCGCTGTTCCAGTGCCAGTCTATCTACTTGGACCTTCAGCTCTTGGAGTTGACGACCAATCCTTGATGTGATAGCATCATATAAAATTCCAGTGGAAACATGTTGGGGATCATCCTTATCAATGAGCAAATCATCCAAGAAAATTGGATCCCCTATAAGCACTGTCACCTGCATGCAACTCAAATTTGAGATTACAAATAAGTTGCAAGCCATATACAAGAAATAACTATTAAAAGACGAAGAGATATGACTCAGTTTTTATGCATCAAATATAGAGTTGAAAAACAAAATATAGCAAAGTTTGTCAGCAAGGGCTGACAAAAAGGACATAACTGTTTACTTACCTGCTTTCCAATCCTTGGAAAGTTTGTTCCTATAGGCATGATTTCTTGCATTCCAGAGTGGACAAAGGGAATAACAGTAGGTACAGTGTCCGCATCTATCACCAGTCTGCAAAAATAGAAAATCTAAATAAGGCCATATCCACCCAGAACATCCACCCAGAACAACCACCACCACGACATCAATGGAACCATTAAACAAGGGGATGCTAACACAAAAAGAAGTGACATATCAGACATGAAGCTGAGATTGTCATTGAAGAAAATCAGAGGTATCAATTGCTTGGGAATAGGTTTTTTTCTGCTTATGTCCAGTTCCATTAGCTTCAAGGCTGTGTTGCTGATTGAATACGCATGCAAGTTCTATGAGCTTGACAATCATTTATAAGCAAAAAAGGTTCCTTCACAACAAGAAAAAGGAACGAAAATTTCAGAGCATAAAAGGGTAACAATATCACATCTATGTGCCAAATTTGCGCATAAGGGCACAAACTGAAGGAGTATTGATCACTTAAAAAATCAGCCATTGCACATATATAACTAATTTCTGCAATCTTAGGGGCTTTGTTGCTCCAATCCAACCTGGGTCACTCAAGTTCATGTCATGAAAATAACCCATCTACTTCCAGATGCTAAGCTGAATGCAAAACCCAACCCAAATAATGGGAGCCTCATGCATTGGACAGCCCTTCATTATGCAATCTCCAAGAGTTGGCAAAAACCATTTACTCTTGTTTGAAACAGAACTGTCTTGCCCATGCCCGAAATTCAATAGAAATATAAATCCCATGAGCATGGATGACATAAAATGATTTAGCATAAATATAATACGTACTACTATTTGATTCCAGCTATTGTTAGTTTGTTACATGTCGAAATCAAGAAAATACAATCCATTTGCATGTTATATCTTACCTCCCAACTCCTCTCTTAGCATCACCCATGGTTCTTCCACCATCTCTAGATCGACTTCCTTCTGGAAATATATGAACCCATCCACCATTGTTCAGCTTGGATAAAGCAGTATCCATTCCCTAGAAAAAGATAAACACAAAACAAATATAAAATTTATGGATGCCAAAATGGATAACGTAAAGCTGATAAGGCTATCAAACAATGCACAGGGCAAGGGGACAAAGACAATTGGGGCACAACTTTGAAATATTAGATTAGATATACAACACATCTAAGAAACTTGTATGACAACAAATAGCAGATGAGATCCAATAAGAGGCACGAGGCGTGGACCTGAAAAAAAAAACTCTTTCTCACTGCTACTAAAAAACCCATGATATATTTTTTTTAAAGCAAGGAATGGTGGGTTCATGAAAGAAGGAAAACCCATAGAAACTCAAGTTATTTTTAAAAACATGCTTGATGAAATTTTATCTCTCATGGTGCATTGCTTAGTACAGTTTTAGATTTTTCATCTTGAGAATATGAATCATAAACTGTACTTTTGTACCAATGAAATACTAGGATGTCATTAAAATAAAGCATCCAGGTTGTTTTTCCAATTTTTTTGTCTACCAGTACACAAATCATATAGCCCCTTCCAAAGGGAGAAAGAGAGTTCTTCATAGTTCGTTCAACCCAAATGCAATGCACTCAACTTAACTCGAGTAAAATAAAAAAGTAAAACTATATTTTTGCATTACTAAACATATACATGTTCAAACAATTCGATGATATAGTAATAGAATGATAAGATACCTTTTGATAGATACCATCACCACGTGAAACAGGTAGAACTTTGAGACAATGAAAGAATGCAGAGAGCATTGGATTCCTAAAACAACGATCAGTTGCACAAAGAGTCCATCTTAAATCATGAGCATTCAACATGACACTTGGTGGAAGCAAAGAAGCAATCACAAGTGGGTCATCCACAGCTGCTACATGATTGCTAACCTGGAAGACAAAAGATGATATTTTTAAGGCAAAGCATTACATAGTGCCTCATTACTGGCATGCAAGCACCAAAGGCAAAGCAAATTGAGAAAACTAACAGATTAAGCTAATCGATCAGAGTGTCTGCACCATTAAATAATGAGTTTTGTGGCACAAACCAATACAAGCATTACTGTTCATGAAGGCTTTCAAGTTCACTAGTAAAAGGTCTTAACATGCTGGCCATGACATTCCATGAAAACCTGCATGGACTCTTCTGGCAAGACACTGATAACAAGTTTCATGAATCGGCACACGCACAGCAAAGAAATTATATTGCATAGAATGGCATTATAGGATGGTAACAAGAATAATTAAAATGAAAATAACTCCAGCCAGTAAGTTCTCCATGAATGATTTATGTAGTCTGAGCATAATGATGCAACTCCGAGCAACCATGTCTTGGATGTTCTTCTTTCACACAAGTTGAAACTAGACAATTTTTCATTGCACTCAGGCAATACTGTGTGCAGGCAGAAAGAAGCTTGAAAATTAACATATTTTGTATCCTCTATCATTTATATGTTGTCACTGAAATCCATAGCTTCAAGAACAAATAGTGGGAACCCCACCCTTTTTCTTTTTGAACTTGAACAGAAGTTATCTTAGCAGAAAGAATTTGGATTTAAGTTCCAACAAGTGCAAAGATGATGTAGAGCCAGGTGCAATATGAGAAGGCTACATCAGGAAAATCACAATTAATCAGACAAGACTCTGTAAAGCTAAGCCAAAAAAATCAAACAGTTCAATACAAACTCTCAAGAGTTCAACATTTAAAATACATTTCAAGAAAGAAACCAGAATGACTGAATTTTTTGGCATAATTGCGTAATTAGCTCCTTACCGTTAGAAGGGACTTGCCTTCAGGTCTTTGCTTTAGAGCCTGATGTAACTTTTCTGCACCATATATCTGCACCACTTACAAGAACATGTAGATAAATTGATATGATTGCCAAATTTCAGAAAAGCTTAAATATAATTAAACCATACCTTGACATCATTGAGGCCATGCATAAAAACATAGCAAGCATTGCCGATAAAAGGAACAGCCAAAGCTTGAAGCATACGAACAAAAGTTGAGTCACCATTCACATGAGCATCCTTGTCAACTGCAGTTGCATGATAAAATATCTTAGTAGCTGTTCCCACAACATTGCTAAATTGCTAATCATTTTTCATGAAAACCTTGACAAATAGAGAGAAGCTTTATCCAGTACACAATAAACTTGAACTTCAATGGAAGACAAATTTTATAAGTGTCATAACAGACTCCCTAAATCAAACAAACTATTCACTATAAAGTATGAAACATTCGAAAACTATTAAATACATCCTTTATGCTATGATTTTATTTGTGTTTGTTTGGACACACTTTACCTATCATCATGTGGGTACTCCATACCTTATGTTGAGCTTCTCTAATTTTTCATGCCCAGATTTCTCCTCAACTTCTAATAACACTTTGCTTATATCCCTGTTTGATGAAAAAAGCATAATGAGGAGAAACACCTTTACAATCAAGCAATATCCTAAACATTTCTAACTCTATCCTACATCATCTTAAGACGTCGCCTTACAATTCTAAGCTTCTGGTATTTACTAAGCTATCCTTTTACTAAGAAAACAAGTTCGTCATCACCTACAACTCCCTGTGCCATCACATTTGAGTCCACTAAGAAAATCAAAATTATCATCCCAGTCAAGATCCCTGCTAGGTAGAATAAACAAAGAGGAGGACAAAAGACCAACCTTTCTTACGGTAGAACCTCACAGGCGAAGCGAGAGCACCAGGGGATTGATCCGCCCACACGCTCAGGATGCGGCGGAACCACCGCTGTAGGGTCATAGAATAATCGGACTCGACGTGCCACCGGCGGCGGCGATCCACCGCCACCCGGAAACGGTCCCGGATGCGGAGCTGCAGCGCCCGAGCCTGATCCCGCCAGGGGCTTCCCCCGCGCTCGATCCACTCCCCCACCCTCATCGGGAACATCGACAACTGCTGCCACCGCTAAATGATCTAAATCGAAAAGACGAAGCGAGGATCAGACCAGGGTTCCGTCCACAAGGGTTTGTCTCGATCAAACCGCGAGAGACAGATATATATATATATATATATATATATATATATATATATATATATATATATATATATATATA